GGACAACAAAATACAAAATGCAGAACTCAGTGCACCACCATTGCTTGCCATTGTAGCTTATAGCCAATGGCATTTGTTGTCTCTATTTGGGCTTTCAAATTTGCCTTTTTGCAAAGAATTGGATCCAGAATAAGATGTGCTTTAATTAAATTTATATTGAATTCATGACAATTTTCAAACTGTGGCTGAAAACTGAAATTCTGTAAAAACAGACAAAAGTAATAAAATACTGTAAATATTACAGTTTTTCTTGTTTGCTTTGACCTGGTTAAAGAAACTAGGTTCCTCTTCATTTTCATTATCACTATCCCAGCAGAGCAGAGGACCGGTCTTGCAAATGTGTAAACCCTTTCTCATTGGGTTGACACATTTTCCCCACCATTTTTCCAAACAGTCAACACAGATGTAATTCAAGCAGTCCAAACTCCATTGTTTTAGTTTTGGTAACCAAACAGAATCCATCTATTCCTAACTATTAAAAACTACCAACATCAGTATGAAATCACTGAAGCACCGGTTTGACACTCCTTCACACAAATCTTCAATTAGCCATCATTCTGCAAACCTTATATAAACGATGGCAGGTCTGTGTTGTTCTGTGCCAGCATTGATGGAGGAGGTCAGTATGGCTATGTCCTATACTCCCAATAGTTTTGACTGTATATTAGTTTACATGTGTTTTCTCTAATATTTACAGTATTTTATTACTTTTGTCTGTTTTTTTTATATACAGTATTTCAGTTTTCAGCCACAGTTTGAAAAATGTCATGAATTCAATATATATTCAATCAAAGCACATCTTATTCTTGATCCAATTCTTTGCAAAAAGCCGAATTTGACAGCCCAAATAGAGACAACAAATGCCATTGGCTATAAGCTACAATGGCAAGCAATGGTGGTGCATTTTGAGTTCTGCATTTTGTATTTTGTTGTCCATTGTGTAATGATTAATTGAAAGAGCTCATATACCTGTTTGCAAGTTGTGTTGTTTGAAGGTAAAACTAGCTTTTGTTGCATATGTTAAATGTTTTGACACGATATGTGCCTTTTGCAAGCAAAATGTGTCATTTTGACCATGAGTGCCGCAGTTTAGGCCTGTGTGTTAACTGTTCTGAAAATGTGGAGTTTCAGTTGACAACTGCATCCAAGTAATCGAGAAAAACTGTAAAGAAAACACATTTAAACCAATTTACAGTCAAATCTATTGGGAGTATAGGACATAGCCACTATTGACCTCTATCCATGCTGGCACAGAACAACACAGACCTTCCATCATTTATATAAGGTTTGCAGAATGATGGCTAATTGAAGATTTGTGTGAAGGAGTTTCAAACCGCTGCTTCAGTGAATTCAAACTGATCTTGGTAGTGTCTAATGGTTAGGAATAGATGGTTTATGTTTGGCAACCATAGCTAAAACAATGGAGTTTGGACTGCTTGAATGACATCTGTGTTAACTGTTTTGAAAAATGGTGAGGAAAATGTGTCAACCTAATGAGAAAGGGTTTACACATTTGCAGGACCGGTCTTCTGCTCTGCTGGGATAGTGAAAATGAAAATGAAGTGGAACCTAGTTTCTTTAACCAGGTCAAAGCAAACTAGAAAAACTGTAGTGTGTTACTAGTCTTCTCAAAACATTACAACAGCATGACTGAAGTAACACTCTCTTTATAAGTAACTTGAAAAATCATCTGGTTAAGGAACATTGTATTGTTAATGGCCATGTCATACAAAAATCAGTCAAGGTGTAAATAAATGTAAAACAAATTCATGAGTTAAATAGCGTTGCTGAAGATTTGAATAAGAAATATTTGTGTAAATATTGCAGTTCCAGGAATACAGAGGTATTTTTGCAAGTTTTGCTGAGCCTGGGAAAGATTGGCAGTCAGCTCAGCTTTGGCTTTGTCTTCTGATTGAATGTCAGGCTGTAAAGCTGCTGCCTTTTTCTTAAAAATATCCAGTGGAGGAAAAGCACTGAACATGGAAACTGTAAAGCCTAATTTAACCCAATGTGTGAAGTTGTGAACGTATAGCAGGAGCAAATACAAGCACCAGATGTGTCTAATATAAAATAATATATTTAATCTATTTTTCTTTTTTCCCCCTTTTAAATATCGATCATTTGATGCGCTTTGCTCCACTCTCTGTATTATGCTGGCTGATCTGTCTGGTTTTCAACTAGGCCCGCTAAATGACGTCATGGGGGCGGCTACTTTCATTTTCACTGCTACAGTCCCTCACCTCTACTCGTGTTCAAAACAAAAGATCAGCATGGTTTTGCACATGGCAGGCTTTTACATCCTTCATACATGTTGAGATCGAGTTTATCGACTTGATGAGGGAATGTCTTGACAATCCACACAGACGTGCAACAAGTAAAATCCTACATGACTTCACGCTTTAACAGGCAGTCAAGCAGGTCGCACACCAGAAGCGCCGCGACACGGCGCGCACATGACAGTTTAAACTCTCACACACCAAACGCGCACAATTACATGATATTTAACATGAAAGTAATCAGATGGCGCTCTGTGGCGAGGCTGAAATATGACCTGCATCCTGAATCGTGGCTGGGCGGCGCCGAGAGGCGCTTCTGGTGTGCTTCCTGCTTCATACAGAGAGTGAACCCAAGCGCATTGGTGCCATTATAATGTATTAAATATATATATTTTTAAAAATCAAGATTTCTCGATTTCATTCAAAATTAAATCGTCTTAAAACGTAAATTCGAATTAATCGAAAAACTCTGAAAAATCACCCAGCCCTACACCATACTAATGAAATATTGTGCTCTAAATCCAGGCCTTTCAGATTCATTGCCCAATCTTTGTGCATATGAATAATTTATGCATAATTCTGGAAAGTTTTTTTCTGCGTTTTCTCAGGAAAGCACTCCATTTGCTGTGATTGGGAGCAACACTATAGTCGAGGTCAAAGGTCAGCGGGTGAGAGGGAGACTTTACCCATGGGGCATCGTGGAAGGTCAGTGCAGATTTACACTTCATTACCAAACAGCAGGAGACAAAGGCTCAATCCCAATTCCTCTGAAAACTTTCAGTTTCAAGGGCTATCTAGCCCTTCCCCTTACCCAGGCCCGGATTAAGAATTCAGAGGCCCCTGGGAACAATGTCTTGTAGCCCCCCTACCTCAGTTTTCTGAGCACACTTCATTATTATTGTTCATTTATTCGATTGCTGGAAATTAGAACTGAATTAAGAAATAGTTTTGAAACAAATCTTTGCGCTTAACAAACTAAATTAATCATTTATAGGCTAATTGATGTCTGTGCATACAAGGTTTCCTTATCCACGAGAGCGAAAGGGAAAGTTAATATATTATCTCTCAATCTCGCGCTGCAGATGCTCTGTTTAACTGTTTTCTTGCTAGTGAAATGCTCAGTTTCTCCACTTACACTTACTTTACGTCATGTAAATAGCAAATGCGCTATGGCGCGACACAACTGACTCTTAATGGGAATGAGAGATGAGACTCTGATTGGTTTATTCTCAAAACACACCTATAAGTAGTAGTAGTAGTAGTAGTAAAACTTTATTGTCCTTGACAGGAGATTTGTTATGGGCAACGCCATATTGCTGCAGACATTCACTAAAAACAAGCAATAAAAAACAATACAAAATACAACAATTACAAAATGTATAATGCTAATTAAGATATACTCTTATTAAGTAAACCCACTGACACAGGTACAAAGGATTTCTTATAGCGGTTTAACCTACACTTTGGGACTCTATATCTTCTACCAGAGGGAATCGGTTCATACTGTGGAAACAAAAAATAAGTTGGATCTTTTACAATCCTTTCCACCTGATTGAGGACACAGTTCTCATATAAAACTTGTGGATTAAAATTTTCATCGTGCCCGACAATTTTCCATATTGTCTTTATGGGTGCTTTCACACCTACACTTTTGTTTTGGAACGTATCTCGTTTGCCCGGTTAGCGCGGTTCGTTTGGCATATGTGAACAGGGCAATCGCACTCTGATCCGCGCCAAAGCAATCGCTCCGAGATCAATTGAATGAGGTGGTCTCGGCTCGATTGAAACGAACCCTGGAGCGGTTCGATTGCAGTGAGAAAGCGATCCAATCCGAGCGTGGTTATATCACAGTGTTTTATGGATATGTAATAGGCTTACGGCTATATGAAGAGAGAATTATGAGAAGGGCGGGAAGTTTCGCGAGTCTCCGGATGCCCGCAAACGAGTGATGATCTCCCGGTAATCTCGCATCTCCCTCCCGGTCCTCAAATAGGCATCGTCGCGCACCCTTCTCACCCCTCCCCACCGCATCTCTCCTCAGACACGTCGCGCACCCTGTCAATCACCACCAAACCACCACCTCTCCTGACAGCGGGACTCTGCAAAATAAACCCTGACACTCTGACCAATGTGAGGAGAGTTTACTCGCACGTGACTTGTTTTAGCTCTTTTGGTCCGATTAGAAACTTTGCAGTGTGAAAGCGAACCGCTCCAAGAGCAAAGAGCAACAATGTAACAATTGTAGTCTCTGTTCAGGAACAACTGAATCGATTCACATGTGTGAACGCACCCTAAGAGATGCATCAGTTTAGATTTACACTGAACAGATAGGTTGCCAAACCACACTGTGATGCCATATCTAACAATGCTTTCACGTACTGCTTTATAAAACAACATCATGAGCTTCTTGTTAACTCCAAAAAGACACAACCTCCGTAAAAAATACAATCTCTGGTGTAAACGAGAACAAACCCACTCAGTGTGTGTTTTCCATGTGAAAGAACTGTCGATGTAAATGCCCAAGTACTTACAGGTTTCTGACGGAGTAATAGGATGGTCATGTACAACCACTTGACGATGGTCACCTATACACTTAGAGTCAAATATCATCTCTTAGGTTTTCTTAGTATTTATTTTTAGCTTCTATTACACCACTTAACGAAATGACTAATTTCTGACTGATAGATAACACCGATGTCATCATTCTCATAAAGTAAACTTAGTATGGCTGTGTCATCAGAGTATTTAAAAATAAAATTCTGTGAATGCTTACTTGAACATTCATTTGTAAAAAGTGTAAAAGGAATTGGTGAACTGACACAGCCTTGCGGAACCCCAGTGCTACTGTTCTTTTCATCTGAACAGATGTTTTTAACCTTTACAACCTGAGTTCTGTTTGTTAAAAATGAGAAATACCATTTGCATATGCATGGGTTTATATTCAGCTGTTCCATCTCTTTAACCAACAAATGTGGTTGGATCGTATTAAAAGTAGAACTAAAATCAATAAAAAGCAGTCGAGCATAAGCTTTAGGTGCTTAAGAATCAAGTGCGAAATACTATTAACTAACTAATTAACTAACTACTAACACACTCATCTGCACTGGTCACTTTATGCAGACACACCATACTACCTCCCTATTTGACTCTGTCACTTTATCACAATTATCATGTTTACAAGGCTTTTTGCACTATACTGTTCTTTATCTGCACAACTCTGGTTTACTTTGCACTCCCTTAATGTCATTGTATGTCACTGTATTGTTTACAATTTTATTACCTATGTATATTTTTTAGACCACATTTTATGTACAATGTATATACTGTAAATTTTACTACTATTTTTTATATTAATGTTAAGCACCTTGGGTCTGAGAGTAACGCAATTTCAATTCTCTATATGTCTTGTACATGTGGCTGAATTGACAATAAAGCTGACTTTGACTTTGACTATTAACTGCATCTTCAGTACCTCTACCTTGCCTTTAGGCAAACTGTGGAGGATCTAAATTACTAGCAACTTCTGATTTTAACATGGACGCAACACATTTCTCATAACATTTCATGATAACAGATGTTACAGTTTTTCTCGATTGCTTGGATGCAGTTGTCAACTGAAACTCCACATTTTCAAAACAGTAAACACACAGGCCTAAACAGCAGCACTCATGGTCAAAATGACACATTTTGCTTGCAAAAGGCACATATCGTGTCAAAACATTTAACATATGCAACAAAAGCTAGTTTTACCTTCAAACTACACAACTTGCAAACAAGTATATGAGCTCTTTCAATTAATCATTACACAATGGACAACAAAATACAAAATATAGAACTCAAAATGCACCACCATTGCTTGCCATTGTAGCTTATAGCCAATGGCATTTGTTGTCTCTATTTGGGCTGTCAAATTCGCCTTTTTGCAAAGAATTGGATCAAGAATAAGATGTGCTTTGATTGAATATATATTGAATTCATGACATTTTTCAAACTGTGGCTGAAAACTGAAATACTGTATATAAAAAACAGACAAAAGTAATAAAATACTGCAAATATTAGAGAAAACACATGTAAACTAATATACAGTCAAAACTATTGGGAGTATAGGACATAGCCATATTGACCTCCTCCATCAATGCTGGCACAGAACAACACAGACCTTCCATCGTTTATATAAGGTTTGCAGACTGATTGCTAATTGAAGATTTGTGTGAAGGAGTGTCAAACCCGTGCTTCAGTGATTTCATACTGATGTTGGTAGTTTTTAATAGTTAGGAACAGATGGATTCTGTTTGGTTACCAAAACTAAAACAATGGAGTTTGGACTGCTTGAATGACATCTGTGTTAACTGTTTGGAAAAATGGTGGGGAAAATGTGTCAACCCAATGAGAAAGGGTTTACACATTTGCAGGACCGGTCCTCTGCTCTGCTGGGATAGTGATAATGAAAATGAAGAGGAACCTAGTTTCTTTAACCAGGTCAAAGCAAACAAGAACAACTGTAATGCCACCGGTCTAAAATCATTGTACTCAGAGGGCCTCACCAACTTATGAACAGGAACAAACTTTTCCACAATCTAGGAACAATACCCGAGTCTAAGGATTTGTGAAATATGGGAACCCAAACTGGAGTCAGTTCATCAGCACAGCATTTAACAGTACATGGCAAGATTCCATCCGGACCTGCAGATTTATTTGAGCCAATATGTTTAAAATAAAAATGTATAACCCATTAAGTAAATAAGCTCAACCCTTTTAGACCATGTGCCACGGTGCAAAGCGGATTTTTCCGTCCCTATATTAGCAAAAGTGGATTCTGACACACCCTGAATGCGTTTGCGCCCTGCGCTTTGCGCATGGACCGTCAAAATAGAGCCATAAGTATTTCCATCCACCGATTTTTAAGTGCATTTTGGAATATCTCATTCACTGTCAGTGAAAATCATCTTGAAATATTTACTAATAGAATTGTTATATAAGCAACCTCAAGGTGGAAATGCCCACTAGTGACTTTAATGGCCAGTCAGGATGATAGGCAAAGATGCTACTAGTGTGAATGAGGCTTTAGTTAAACTTGCGTCTTTGAAAGAGCAACATAATGAACTATAACTACCCTATTGTAATGATGGTGGACAACAAGGGTAGGATCCAAATGAAGCTTTTAATAGAATCGTCAGGCCGGCAAGGTTCAAACAGAGACAGACGGTAGCATGTAGATAATCTATAGCAGGGGTATCAAACTCAATTCCTGGAGGGCCGAAGCTCTGCACAGTTTAATTCCAACCCTGCTCCAACACACTTACCTGTAGGTTTCAAACAAGCCTGAAGGACTCAATTAGTTTGATCAGGTGTGTTTAATTAGGGTTGGAACTAAACTGTGCAGAGCTGCGGCCCTCCAGCAACTGAGTTTGACACCTGTGCACTAGAGAGTGCTCAGTATAGCCGGCAAATGGTCAAGGTAGGCAGACGTGAAAAGTAAACGAACAAGGCTCAAAACCACGGCTAGGAACAACAGGGAAACCACTTTGACACTCACTACAGGACAACAAGACTATCAGTGTGTGTGTGTGGTGTAAAAATAGTCCATGAATCAGTCCTTATCAGCTTCAGCTGTGAGTGTAGCCAGGAGGAGACCTGAAACTGGTGTGTAACTGCGGGACATTATGGGATATGTAGTCCAGTTCAGTGGCAGATGTGATGTGATGTCTGGTGTGTCTGGTGGAGACTCCACTTGGTGACTGTGACAACTATATTGTATCTGTGACAGTGGAGAATCAGTCTCATTGTGATTTCGTCAAGCTGAGGAACATGTTGATTCGCTCACACATGCACGACCTGAAGGACATCACATGCGACGCTCACTACGAGAACTACAGAGCGCAGTGCATTCAGCAGATGACCAGGTAAGCTTCTCTGATACCACAGTGTAATATATCAGAAAACCATCATCGCTCATGATTTGTTCTGTGTTAAGCAGCAAGCTGACGCAGGATAATCGTGTGGAGAGTCCCATCCCGATCCTGCCTCTGTCCACCCCTGATGTAGAAACAGAGAAACTGATCAAGATGAAGGATGAGGAGGTGAGCTGCTTCAGATCTGTTTACAGCGGTTATTATAGTTGATTTATCAGGGCACATCATTTTTGTTTAGCCCTTTACCTGTCACACTGCAAAAATGCTTTTCCTCCTTTGAGGTTTTGCCTTGTTTTTAGTCCAAATTAGACGATGACCGAGAGTGAATTTTCAGTCTTGTCTCGTCCCACTCCCGCAGAAAGAAATCTTGTCCCGTCCCACTCCTGTTTAACATGAATCCCACTCCTGTTCCGCTCCCATATATATTTCTTTCTACTTTTAGTCTTTAGGTAATACATAGAAGTAGATTTTATCTGCTCCCCATCCTGTTTTAGACCAGCTGCTGAGTCCCTGTTTCTAGATTTTCTGGAGATCAGTTATAGTAAACAGTATTTTTAGAGTTCACACTTAGCTGATAAGTAAAGCGTATTTGGCATGCTGTGCATGGGAGAGAGCCCTGATCTCGTAATATCCTCGAGCCCGGGGCTCCCTCCCATTAGAAGGGCGAGAGGGGAGTTCGAGCTCAGGTAGGTCTCGAGAACTCCCCTGCTTGTCGCCTTGTGAGAAGTGTAAACTAAGGATGTCTTAGGTGATGATTTGGTTTAGTCGATTAGCTATGGTTTATGTTTTTGGACGGTGGGAGGAAACCGGGGAACCCGGGGGAAACACATGCGAACACAGGGAGAACGTGTAAACTATGCACAGAAACTCCAACCAGCCTGATAGGAGGTTGGACCAGCGGTTTTCTTGCTGTGAAGCAACAGTGCTAGCCACAGGGCCACCATGTCGCCCAAAAATTAAAAATAAAGCACAACCCTGTTAGACCATGCGCCGGGCGCAGAGCGTATTCGTCCATCCTTACAATAGCAAAAGTGGATTCAGACATGCCCTTAATGCTTTTGCGTTATGAGCTTTAGACTTTGCGCCTAGATCATTAAAATAGAGCCTGTAGTGTTTTGCAAAAAAAGCTAAGCTCTGACAAAAATCTAAAATTGGTGTTTATCTGTGTTTGCATATGAAGTCTTCATTTTAATAAATAGTTTATGCAAAAATGATAGAAAATCAAAGTCTCATGGAGTCAAGTTCAATTGCAATTTTTTTAAGTGATGTAATAAAAGTATTACAAAAAAAACTGACATGCATGGTTTAGTATTTCAACTGGTAAAATGTAAAAAAAATGCTTCTGCTAAAAGTGTTTTAAATCATCAGCTATGCTAAATACTGCACCTAACTAACTGTTTGTTGATTTTGACAGTTGCGGAGGATGCAGGAGATGCTTCAGAAGATGCAACAGCAGATGCACGAGCAGGACCTGTGAAAACACTCACCCTTTAACCACAAGCAGACACTCAACACTTTAACACACACTGAAGGATGTGGAGGAGGAAACAAACACATGCATTAACACTTTAGTTTAAGGACCAATTCTCACTCTTAAAGGGACAGTTCACCCAAAAATGACCCCATTTGTTTACCCCTGAATGTTCTGTTGCTTAGTTACAAACTTCTCAATCATCTTGTCACATAACTTTTTTATATTTAATTTCCTACTATATTGGAGATGCAGAGTTAATCTGAAAATAGCATCACACGCATCCTTATATTACTTCAGAATATTCCTGAAGATTAATTATTATTACAGCACTTTAGTGCCACTTAAAAACCATTATGATATTAAAGCAATGAAGTTGAAATACTACGAGAACAAAGTCGAAATGTTATGAAAGTAGAGGAGCTACTTCAGAAATTAAGTTGAAAAATTACATGAATAGTCAAAATATTATGGGACTAAATTTGAAATATTACATGAATAAAGTCAAAATAATAGTAGAATAAAGTGTAAAGATTGAGAATAACTGAAATAATTAAAGAAAAAAGTACAAATATTATGAGAAGTTGAAATATTACCTACATTATTGTAAATGTAACATTTGAAGAATAAGTTGAATTAATTTAAGAATAAAGTTAAAATATTATGTAAATTAATACAAATAATATGAGATTAAATTCTGAACATTTCAAGAATGAAGTCTAAATAACAGAAGAATACATTAATTTACAAGGATAATAAAGTTGCAATTTTACGAGAATAAATTTGCAATAAATTAATTCCAAATATTAGACAAGATTAAATTCAGAACATTTCAAGAATAAGTTGAAAATTATGAGAATAAATTCAAAATATTAATAAGTCAAAATATTATCATTTTAAAGACAAAAATATTTAAAAAACTAAATATAAAGTCAAAATATTATGAGAGAAGTGTAAATATTTTGCTACGTTGAAATAATATGTGAATACAGTAAAATTATTATGAGATCAAAATCCTAATATTATTAGTATAAAGTGGAAATATTACAAGAATAATTGAAATAATTAGAGAAGTCAAAATATTACGAGAATAAGTTGAAATATTCATTCATTTATTTTCTTGTCGGCTTAGTCCCTTTTAATAATCCGGGGTTGCCACAGAGGAATGAACCGTCAACTTATCCGGCAAGTTTATTACACAGCGGATGCCCTTTCAGCCGCAACCCATCTCTGGGAAACATCCACAAACACACACACACATACACTCATACACTATGGACAATTTAGCCTACCCAATTCACCTGTACCGCATGTCTTTGGACTTTGGGGGAAACCGGAGCACCCGGAGAACATGCAAACTCCACATGGAAATGCCAACTGAGCCGAGGTTCAAACCAGCGACCCAGCAACCTTCTTGCTGTAAGGCGACAGCACTACCTACTGCGCCACTGCATCGCCCAGTTGAAATATTACGTGAATGAAATAAAAATATTTAGAGAATAATTGACAATTCAAGAATAAAGTGGAAATTTTATGGCAATAAAATAATTTGAGAAAAAAAGTCAAAGCTTTTTTTGGAAGAATGTTGGAAATCGGTAACTATTGACTTCTATAGTATTTGTTTTTATGGAAATCGATGGTTACCAGTGTCCATTTGTAAGAATAAATTTGTAAGAATAAATCATTTTGTGTTCAACAAAACAAGTGAAATGTGAATAAATTATAAAAGTATTTTTATTTTTTGGTGAACTATCCCTTTGAGGCTCATTACTTGCCTATAATTAAGATATTAGCTGTTATTAGTACTTTTAAAGCACACATTCTGCATGATCTTATTCTACATCCTTAAGACTGTACAAACAACCACCTTAATACCTAATAAGCACCACATTTGTAGTTTGAGGCAAGGTAATAATTAATGGTTTAATAGTGAGAATTGTTCTTTAGAGGAGACCTATTATGCCTCTTTTTGCAAGATGTAAAATAAAATCTCCCTAGTGTGTGTGTGTGTGTGTGTGTGTGTGTGTGTGTGAAGTTTCAGCTGAAAATAGCACACAGAAAATGTTCTCTAACTCTCTGAAACTGACCCTTTCAGGCTTTGATCCTAATTGTGGCGTTTTGGTGACTGTCACTTTAAATTCGAATGAGATTGTGCTCTTTTCAAAAGAGGGCGGAGCTATTAATGCCTATGCATCAGCATAGTGGCAGATTCAAAAACAAGACTAATGTAATAAGCTAATGAGGGAGAGATTGTCACTAGTGGGCGGGGCTTTCCCCCTCAGATGACATCATTCAAAGGGAGAATGGCAATCAAAGTGTTTCTGCAGACTGCTTTCATCAAGCCTGATTATAAACAATACAATTAATTAATGTTTACCATTAGAAGCTGGACATATTCACACACTGCTGACACACAACTGAGTGCTGAGTGTAAACCCCTTTTTAAAATTATTTTTGCATAATAGGTCCCCTTTAAAACTTAAGATGGTGTATGAATGCATGTGTTGAGCACTGCGGTTCACAGGGTCACTCAGCCTGAAATATTAAACCAGGCTTTAAGTTGAACTATTTAGTAATGTTAGAACATTGTGATTATAGCTGGTTTTCACACTTTGTACAGTCCATGTAATGCTGTATGACTGTTTCCATGGCAACGACTGCTTTATTCACAGCAGACCTGGCAAATGTTGCTTTATTTTTTGTTTGTTTGCAGTTTTTGTGAGCTGTTTCTATCCTGTTTTTTAATATATTATGTGCAAATGTGTGCAGATTTGCTTAAAACAAAAACTCTGGGTGGAAAACTAAACATCTGAGAGGTTTTCTACAAGCTACAGCAACAAAATCATCACATTCTGAACAAGGTTTACACAGCTGAGAAGTGTTTTGCGAAAACTTTACAGTGTTATAATATACATTTCAACATATTAAATGTTATTTTAATTTGTGTATTAACTTATATCTGTGCAGGCAAGAACATTTCACAGATTATTTTACTGATTGTTCCAAAAATAAGTGTTTTTGCAAGTTTTTTACAAGTCACATTAATAATAAACTCTTAAAAGTAAAGAAACAAAGAGGGTTTTTTCCACAGTGATGCCAGAATAACCTTTAAAAGTTTTCATAGCATTTAATAATCTAATGAAACTTTTCCACTATTGAATGCAACATTTCTATACAGTAAATTAAAGGTTAATAAAGAACATTTTTACCAAACTTTTACAGCTCTAAAACACCAAATATATCCAACCCAGGCTCATTCTGATTACGAAGCCCTATATACATTTCTGGAGAGCGCCAAATACATCCCAGGAGCTGCATTTTGCAGTTTTTGTTTTCACAAATCCACCAGAGGTCGCTGTGGTTGCTTTTTCAGACCTCAAATTTTTCTCGCGAGTGCCATTCACGCCTGCTGTTCTTATGTAAATCCACCAGAGGTCGCTGTGGTCGCTTTCTCAGTTCTCAAATTTCTCTCGCTGATGTCATTCGCGCCTGCTGTTCTCATGTAAATCCACCAGAGGTCGCTGTGGTCGCTTTCTCAGTTCTCAAATTTCTCTCGCTGATGTCATTCGCGCCTGCTGTTCTCATGTAAATCCACCAGAGGCCGCTGTGGTCGCTTTTTCAGTTCTCAAATTTCTCTCGCGGATGTCATTTGCGCCTGCTGCTCTCACGTAAATCCACCAGAGGCCGCTGTGGTCACTTTTTCAGACCTCAGATTTCTCTCGATGATGCTATTTGCGCCTGCTGCTCTTGCATAATCCACCAGAGGCCGCTGTGGTCGCTTTTTCAAATTTCAAATATCTCTTGTGGGTACCATTTGCGCCTGCTGTTCTAATGTAAATCCACCAGAGGCCGCTGTGGTCACTTTTTCAGAACTCAAATTTCTTTCGCTGATGCCATTCGCGCCTGCTGCTCTCACATAATCCACCAAAGGTCGCTGTGGTCGCTTTTTCAGGTTTCAAATATCTCTTGTGGGTACCATTCGCGCCTGCTGTTCTCATGTAAATCCACCAGAGGCCGCTGTGTACGCTTTTTCAGAACTCAAATTTCTTTCATGGATGCCATTTGTACCGGCTGTTCTCACGTAAATCCACCAGAGGCCGCTGTATATGCTTTTTCAGAGCTTAGTTTTCTCTTGTGGGTGCCATTTGTGCCTGCTGTTTTCTCGTATATCCACCAGAGGCTGCTGAGTACGCTTTTTCAGTTCTCAAATTTCTCTCGAGGGTGCCATTCGCGCCTGCTAATCTCACATAAATCCACCAGAGACCGCTGTATATGCTTTTTCAGTTCTCAAAATTCTCTCATTGATGTCAGTCACGCCTGCTGCTCTCGCATAATCCACCAGAGGCCGCTGTAGTCACTTTTTCAGAACTCAAATTTCCCTCGTGGGTGCCATTCGCGCCTGCTGTTCTCACATAAATCCACCAGAGGCCGCTGTGTATGCTTTTTCAGAGCTTAATTTTCTCTTGTGGGTGCCATTTGCGCCTGCTGTTTTCTCGTGAATCCACTAGAGGCTGCTGAGTACGCTTTTTCAGTTATTAATTTTCTCTTGTGGGTGCCATTCGCGCCTGCTTTTCTCATGTAAATCCACCAGAGGCAGCTGTGGTCGCTTTTTCAGTTATTAAATTTCTCTTGCGGGCGCCATTCGCGCCTGCTTTTCTCATGTAAATCCACCAGAGGCCGCTGTGGTTGCTTTTTCAGAACTCAAATTTCCCTCGTGGGTGCCATTCGTGCCTGCTGTTCTCACGTAAATCCACTAGAGGCCACTGTGTGCGCTTTTTCAGATCTCAAATTTCTCTCGCGCGGGCCTGCTGCTCTGTTCTAAATCCACCAGAGGCCGCTGTTGACTGACTGACTGACCGACTGACCCATCCTTCTCCTTTCCTAAACCTAACCGACAATGTTTTTAAAAGCAATCCAGAAAAAGAAAAGCCCTCGCCTGATTTTTACCACGTTTTTAGATTTAACCACATTCTCACCCTGTTGTTTACATGTTTATTTAATTTTTTGGCTTCTGTTTTTGTTTTACCCGCTTTTTGGAACCGTTCTTCACCTGACTGGAACCCCGTCATCGTAGTCAGCTCCTCCCTGGGCCTCAAGTCTGCCAACATACATGGCGAGCCACTGGGCAAACTGGTAACAGCCAAAGCCGTCTATATGGAGGTAAGTGTTAAGCTGGTAAGCGCACAAAGGAAAGGTGCCATGTCGCCCTGTAGCGTCTGTTTTAAAGCCAAATGAAAGCCATACATACCTCGGCTACATAATTAGCAATCTCCATAAATTGTTATAGGGCTACGCTTTCAGAATGAGCCTACGTACGTTGCATATATCCCAAAAAAGGTAATGGAGATCTCGATTAGTAAAAGGCGTATTTTATACCACCTGTTGATGTTTTTTTAGATAGTTGATATTGAGATATTGATTTGTAAGCCCTTTATGTATTTTCTCACACTATTCATGTGAGCATAATAAATGCACCATCTGTTCACGATTCCTTTGAACAATAAACACAACATCTGTGATCTGACCTCGTCTTTTATATCATTGCTATTGAAATTTACAAAGCACACACACACACGCCAGAGAGGTGTGCAGGTAACAAGCTGCTTTTCCTGTGGTGATATGTATTCACATCAGTATTAACATAAGAAGCATTATGCTGCTTGGCCAAACTGCTTATTTAAAATGAGCTGAGACAACACAATTCTTGACTTTTTTGGTCGGACAACTTAATTTTTTTACGTTCCATCCATTTACATTTGTTAACATGAGCAAGTGAGGTTAGTTTTAAAATTTGTGTTGGGACAACATGAAGGAATTGTGTGGGATCCAGCATTTTTTACAGTGTATCATTTAAAGGGGCAGCATGGTGCCTCAGTGGCTAGCACTGTTGCCTCACAGCAAGAAGATCACTGCTTCGAGTCCTTGCTGGGTCAGTTGGTGTTTCTGTGTGGAGTTTGCATGTTCTCCCCATGTTGGCGTGGGTTTCCCCCTCTGTCTAAACACATGCGCTATAGGGGAATTGATGAACTAAACTGGCCGTAGTGTATGGGTGTGTGTGTGTGAATGAGTGTGCATGGGTGTTTTCTAGTACTTAGTTGCAGCTGTAAGGACATTCTCTGCGTAAAACATATGCTGGAATAGTTGTTGGTTCATTCCACTGTGGTGACCCCTGATAAATAAGGGACTAAGCCGAAGGGAAATGAATAAATAATTCTGTATTTGTTGTCTTATGTGACTCGAACGGCTTAAAGTGTAATTTGTTTATGTAGTTTGTTTATATATATATATATATATATATATATATATATATATATATATATATATAAATATAGTTGAAGTCAGATCTATTTGCCCCCTTTTGATTTTATTTTTAAAAATATTTTCCAAATGATTTTTACCAGAGCAGGGAAATTTTCACAGTATGTCTGATAATATTTTTTCTTCTGGAGAAAGTCAGATTTGTTTTATTTTGGCAAGAATAAAAGCAGATTTTAATTTAAAAAAAAAACATTTTTGGGACAAAATTATTAGCCCCTTCAAGCTATTTTCCCCCCGATAATCTACAGAACAAACCATCGTTATTTAATAACTTGCCTAATTACCGTAACCTGCCTAGTTAACCTTATTAACCAATTAAGCCTTTAAATGTCCTCAACTCAATACGAAACAGTGATAAATCCTCAATAATAAAAAACAACAACAAATGTCTGAAAATATTGAAGTAACTGAACAATATCTATTTACAAATACAATTAATAAAAATACAACAGAATTAATGCATTAAATAAAAAATCTAGTATGTTTAATATTTTATATAATAATCTATTCAGTCATAGGCTAATATTTTATAGTTGAAAAATAGTTTAAATTACAGTTTAGAAGCAGCTGAAATCAGGTTAGTCGATCTTTTAAACAGCGGGTGGCAAGGTCTGGAAGTCCAGGTCTAGCTGTCTGAGCGAGCAGGTCTGAGCTTGCAGTTGGGTCTCCGGGCCTGCAGCTTCATACTATTGGATTGAGTCTTGTGGTAAAAAATGCATTTGCATACAGTCCTAAATTTGCATAAACATCCTTCGATCACGTCGAATTGGATTAGCAACACAAACCACAAGGAGTTTAACAGAAGTGCATGTAAATACACAAGCTCGGCGTGCTGCATCGCGTTTATTTAAGCATGCAACTTTTTTTTGGAAATACTGGGCGTGGATGAGCAGCAGCTACAGGCTGTAGTGGGACTGACTCATTTTATAAAGGTTTGCAGAGGGGCTCTTTCCATCACTACTACTTCCGCATGTCAACATGTCCTGCAGATGAAGTATTTGCATTGGTTTGCATGCTTTTAACATTAACCCCAGGGTGACTTCTGACTGGAAAGACTGCAGAGAGCGCATATGGAAGCGAGTATGGACGTGGATGATGTTTCTCCATCCCATCAGCAGCAGAATCAGCGGGGCTTGTGGAAATCTTTCCACGGTAAATCCAAACTCCCTGGCAGCCCCAAACTGAGCAAAAAAGCCAGAAAGCCAGAAAGTGTGTTTCGGATATTTAAAAAGAAGCGTGATCATGGCTTGGACCGAGCTGTGTCTTCATCTCAGCCCAATCTGCACAGCGCAGCAGCGGACGGAGAAGGCAGCGGGAGGACGCGCTGCGGCACGCCGGAGATGAGTGCCTGTACGGCGGCCGCGGCTGCAGCGTCGCTCGGTGCGGAGATCCAGATGCTGAAAAGATCCGGCAGCCCCAAACCGACGCTCTCCCAGCTGCTGGAGTCTCAGTATAAGCCTGCTTCCACATGCACAGATGATGCACAGACGCACAGTGATGAAGAACAGGGCGATAAAAGTGTGGTAAGATGTTATGCAATTCTTCGGATGTTTCCTCTGCAGTAGTAATGCTGTGCACTGTACAACGCTGGGTTCCACACAAAGCATTTGTGTTGGCACAACTTGAAGGAATTAACTTAACTTGTTAGTTTTTACAAATTTAAGTGGACTGAACATAAAACAATTAAGCTGTCTGACAAAAAACCTGAATAATTGTGTTGTTTCAGCTTAATTTAAATAAGTAGTTTGAAGTGTTCACTGAAAAGATGCTGAGTTCCACACAACTGATTAGTGTTAGGGCAAGATTAAGTTAATTCATTAAACTTTACGAATTTAAGTTGATTAAATATAAAACAGTTTTGCTTCAGCTCAATTTAAAGTAGTTTAATGTCATTTTTGGAGAGTATACTGTTACAAATCCTGGGTTCCAAACAATTGAATTGTGTTGAGACAACATGAAGAAATCAAGATAACTTACTTTTTTATATAAATTTAAGTTGAGTGAACATAAAACAAATAAGTTTTCCCAAAAACTCAAGAATTGTGTTGTTTCAGCTTAATTAAATAAGTAGTTTGAACAAACGGTAAATGTCATTTTCTGAGTGAACACTGTAAAAGATGATGGGTTTCACACAATTGATTTGTGTTGGCACAACTTAAAGACATTAAGTTAACTTAATAGTTTTTACAAATTTAAGTTGATTGAATATAAAACAGTTAAGTTGTCCATCTAAAATACCTCAATAATTGAGTTGCTTCAGCTCAATTTAAATAAGTATCTCATTTTTGTGAGTGTAAAAACTGTTGAGCTTCACACAATTGATTTGTTAAGACAACATGAAGGAATTAAGTTAACTTATTAGTTTTTATACATTTAAGTTGATTGAACATAAGACAAGTAATTTGTTCCCTTTGAAAAATCAAGAATTTTGTTGTTTCAGCTTAATTTAAGTAAGTAGTTTGAACAAACAGCAAATGTCATTTTTGAGTGTATGCTGGAAAAGATGCTGGGTTCCACACAACGGATTTGTGTTAGGGCAAGATTAAGTTAATTAATCAATCTTTATGACTTTAAGTTGATTGAATATAAATCTCTTCAGCTGTCCCTCTAAAAACCTCAATAGTTGTGTTGCTTCAGTTCAATTTAAATAAGTAGTTTAATGTCTTTTTGGAGTGTATACTGTGACAAATCCTGGGTTCCACTTGATTTGTGTTGAGACAACATGAAGAAATCAAAATAACTTACTTGTTTATATAAATTTAAGTTGAGTGAACATAAAACAAATAAGTTGTCCCAAAAACTTAAGAATTGTGTTGTTTCAGCTTAATTTAAATAAGTAGTTTGAACAAACGGCAAATGTCATTTCTGGGTGTACACTGTAAAAGATGATGGGTTCCACACAATTGATTTGGTCTGAGACAACATGAAGGAATTAGGTTAACTTATTAGTTTAAAAAAAAATTAAGTTGATTGAATATAAAACACCTCAGCTGTCCCTCTAAAAACCTCAAGAATTGAGTTGCTTCTGCTCAGTTTAAATTAGTTTAATGTCATAATGTTTTTGTATAAACTGTGGCAAATCCTGGGTTCCACACAATTTGTGTTGAGACAACATGAAGGAACCAAGATAACTTACCTTTTTATATACATTTAAGTTAAGATGTCCATCAAAAAATCTCAATAATTGTGTTGCTTCAGCTCAGTTAAATAAGTAGGAAATGTTTTGGAGTGTATACTGTAAAAGTACTGGGTTCAACACAGTCCAGTTGTGTTGAGACAACCAGAAGGAATTAAGTTAACTTATTAGTTTTTATAAATTTAAGTTGATGGAACATAAACAATTAAGTTGTTTAATTGTTAACTGAAGTTGACTAAAGTGCTGAACATAGGACAGGGTTAGAAATGAACTTTTTTACTTGGTAGCACCGGTGCTCCCAACTTCAAAAATTTAGGAGCACCAGAAAAAATTTAGGAGCACCAGAAAAAATTTAGGAGCACCCATTGATTGAGCACCGCTGCTAATTGTATTTTAAGGGATTTATTGTATTTTAAAACAACATCAATTAGGACTAACAAAAACCAGAAAGAACTATCTAACTAATGCTGAGATGACATTGATATTTGTGTGCAATAATTCCAAAATGAATGTCGAATAAATATAAAATAATAATGATGATGAAAATGACAATAATAGTAACAATGAATTACATTTGCCATCATCATGCTGCCTTGAATGTGCTTGAATACAAGTTGTCTGCTATAAAAAGTCTGTTACTTTATGAAAAATAAATGTATAGTTTGCATCAAACAAAAATGAAGCATTGCAGTAAGAAATATTTATTTTGTACTGCTTTTTATATATGCATGTCAGTTTAATAAATAATATTTCTGCTACAAAACAAACAAAAGATTATAATAAATAATTCAATTCAAGGCTGAATGCTGCAAAACAGTCATCAGTAACTACATAAAAAAAACTAATAATATACACCTTAAGAAAGAATAGACAAAAGAAAGTAAGTAAAGTCTCACTTCTATCATTCTTTAAAAGTTTTGGTTTCAGTTTGTGTCAATTTAAATGTTCAGTCTGAGCTGATTGTCATTTTTCTGTGTTTGTGGAAAGCAGGCGATTCAGCCGACCCAATTTATGAGCAGGTTGAACAGAGTTCTGACCACCGGATGCGCCGCAGTTTCAGTGTAAACTTAGTAAAGGCGAGATCTTTGGCGATGATGTGTACAGTATTAGATTTGACTTTTAGCGGACATTTGCGCTGAACACGCAGTGAATGCAACGCATCGAGATTCGGGCGCCTTCTCCGAAAAGCACGTACTCGATTGATCTCAGCTGGCGGATCAATATTCACCACATGTCCTGATCGCTCTCATCTGCGCCTCAACTTTAGGTGGGGTTTGCAAACCTGCATGCTTTAAGTTTTCACTCTTCAGCCAATTGCATTTCCAGTGGTCATAAAAGCTCCTTCCCTGTCATCTGACAGCGGAATACCTTGAGTGATTGACGGCGTATATAAACCAATATAGCGGCAGAGAAGAGCGATTCAAGGCAAGGCAAGGCAAGTTTATTTATATAGCACATTTCATACACAGTGGCAAAGTGCTTTACATAAACAAAAATAAAAGAAACAAGTAAAATAAATAAATAAGTAAATAAATAAATAAAAACAAATAATAAAACAGCACATTTTTAGAAAAAATCTAAACAGGTCGCACTACAACCATTATATGCAGTCGCACTAATGCTGCCAGATATATTATGAGGTCGCATAGATTAATTTTCGGGTGCATATGCGAGCAAAATGGTCGCAATTTCGAGCCCCGTAGGAGTACTAAAGACAGAGAAGAAAATAAAACGGAAAAGCAAACAATTAGTAAAAGCAATTTAAAAAGTTGCAATCAGGAGTATTAAACGCGAGGGAAAATACGATTTAGTTTGAGTTTCAATTTTATTGGACAACTGTATTATTATTATAACTAATAAGTATTATTATATATTTTTTATTTGCACTTTATAATAATGTATTTAATAACATTAACTAACAATGAACAGTACTTCTACAGCATTCATTTACTAATGTTATTCAAATCCAAAGTTGTGCTAGTTAACATAAGTTAATGCACTGTTAAGTTAACAAGAATTAACATCGATGACTTTATTTTAATTAACTGATGTTAACAAAGATTAATAATTAATAAATGTATTGATCATTCGTTAGTACACTGTAAAAATATATGATTAATAAGTCATGAAAACATATGTTTTTAGTTAATTGTAACTTATTAAACTAAGTTAAACGTCCTCCAGCTTAATTTTTGGAGTTAAGCAAGCTATTAAAAATAAATTGCAGATTTATGTATGAATGATTGTGAGAAGGGTGACTTAGTGGCGAGAAGGTCGCTGGTTTGAGCCACAGCTGGGTTAGTTGGCGTTTCTGTGAGGAGTTTGCATGTTCTCCCTGCGTATGCGTGGGTTTCCTCCGGGTGCTCCGGTTTCCCCCACAGTCCAAAGACATGCTGTACAGGGGAATTGGGTAGGCTAAATTGTCCGTAGTGTATGAGTGTGAATGACAGTGTATGGATGTTTCCAAAGATGGGTTGCAGCTGGAAGGGCATCTGCTGCGTGAAACATGTGCTGGATAAGTTGGCGAGTCATCCCGCTGTGGCGACTCCGGATTAATAAAGGGACTAAGCTGAAAAGAAAATGAATGAATGTGAGATATAGGAGCTAAACAGAAATGAACCACTTGTTTGATAAACAAAGTCTCTGGTACTGTAAAACACAACCACTAAAAGACATATCAAGTGTTACTTTACAAACTGTGCTGTACATAATTCATATAATCATTTGCATGCCGTTCAAAATACTACTGAAATAAATAAACGGCATAAAAGCTGAATATATACAGTTGAAGTCAGAATTATTAGCCCCATTTTTATTTTTTATTTTTATTTTTCCCAAATGATTTTCAACAGATTCAGGAAATTTTCACAGTATGTCTGATAATATTTTTTCTTCTGGGGAAAGTCTGATTTGTTTTATTTCGGCCAGAGTAAAAGCAGTTATTAATTTTTTAAAAACCATTTTAAGGACAATATTATTAGCCCCTTTAAGCAAATTTTTTTTGATAGTCTTCAAAACAAACCATCGTTATAGAATAACTTGCCTAATTACCCTAAGCTGCCTAGTTCACCTAATTAACCTAGTTAAGCCTTTAAAGGGCCATGAAGCCCCCTCGTTTCAGCAGGGTGTTTCACACCTCTACTTTGGAAAAAGTCCAAAAAATGGGCGTGTCCAGCTCTGTTTAGGGGGGAGTGTCGGAGGAAGAAAAGAGGCATGGTGTGGGAGTGTCTATTTGGGCACGCTGACTTTCAGAGTCAAAACACACAGACACACTGGGGACAAAGGGACTGTGTTTACATGGACATCTGTAGTTGAATTATTTGCCAAATGATTAAATGGTGGACTTTAACTGCAGTTTGGCTCTTTCATTCAGGGAATTCATTCATG